AAATTACACACAAATCTACATCTATATCTATCTATTTAGATGTCTTAAGCATCCTATATCCTATATCTATAGATATAGAAGAGAGAGAGAGGGGAGAGAGAGAGAGAGAGAGAGAGAGAGAGAGAGAGAGAGAGAGAGAGAGAGAGAGAGTGCGTGTAGCCATATTCTTACTTGAAATACTTCATCTTCCACAAATAGACCTGAACAGTCCCAAATAGACAAAAAACCCACAAGGAGATACAAAATTGAACACAGATAAAGTAGATATGTAGAGACAGGAAGAATATATTGAGCGAAATACCAACAATTTAGTACATAAAGCAATGCAAGATAAAAGCCAAGTGATTACATGACCTAACTTGAAGAGTCAGAGGTGCCAAGTCATAACAAAACCAGTAAAACTCAAAACAATTATTTCAACACTCAAACTAACGCCAAAAAGACACAAGACTCCCCAAACAACTACTATTAAATATAATGGGAGATCCTAAACATAATTTGACAAAAGGTACAAAACTACATTTTAATGTTGATTAGACAAAATTTGAACTTTTTAGTTAATTTTTGAAGGATTACAAAAATACTTATTAGTTTTTAGCCTAATGGGCTTATTTTAAACGATCCTATGATCTAAATGTAAAACGATTAAATAAATGACATCATCACCAAAAGAGCAAGTCATTCACCATTTCTGTGTAAACGCAAATGTACTATCGCCAGTTTGGTTGTTTACCTGTAATATCTGAATGCTGATCAAATGCTATTTAAGCAATTACAATGGCGTTATTAAGGCAACACTTGACTTAGATGACTCCGCTCCATGCGTTGGACGCCTCCGCGGAGCGTTCTGGTAGAGATCCGGTCCGGGTCTTCCCTCCGCCCGCTCCTCTCCGCTGAACTCCAACCCCCGCGCTCTCTATCAGCATCTCATTCCTGTCTCAATATGTCTCAAGATGGCGGCCAATGCAGGATCGATGTTTCAATATTGGAAGCGCTTTGACTTACCACAACTACAGGTCAGTTCACTCTCTGTTAAAACTGTTTCCGTGCTCTACGCTTCAGCCGCCTCGTCTCCGACGGAGGCTGGGTTTCGTGTTTTTCAGCGGCTGTCTCGTTGGTGTTTCGGAAGAAAATTCAAGACCTCTTCCTCACATTGATGAAAGTGGCTCTCTCGCTGATCAGAAATTGATCCTCTTTGTTCAATTCAACATCGATCGGACACTGCAACCGGGCAAGCCAGGGCGACGCCGCGGGGATGCGCTGAAATAAAGAGCTCTAAACGGCGGTGCCTTTGGCGAAAAGCTCTCGGTTGGTTCTCTTTATTATTGCGTGTTGTTCAACTTTTACCGGAGCGAGTAGCCGTAGTTAGCCCGACGCTTTAGCCGCTGTAAGGTTGGATCATTTGGGGGAAAAAAATAAGTGCGACTCATACGGTGGCGCTGTGGCGACACCAGCCGTTGAGACGGGCAGAAGAGACACACAACAGCTTTCTGCTCGTGTTGTTTTCCGCTTTTAACTGTCACATTTGTTAAGTTTAGTTGAACCTTATCGGCTAACGGCGTTAGATCAGTTTACATGGAAGTCGCCTCCGTGTTTATGCTTTATTAACTCGACCATTTAGTGAGTCGGATCCCCCTCATGACGGGTTCTTTAAACAGACATTGCCACGTCTGTGTCGGAAGTGGACAGGACGGGGCAGTTGTGTGTTGATGGGACGCAATTGAAAAAAACCCGAACGTTAAAAATGTGACAGATCGTGACCTTGTGATTTATGGTGAACTCCAGAATTGTCCTCACATCGCGCACAGATGAGATCTGTGTGACACAGGAGAGGAGATGACCAGAAATATTGGAAAATATTGGGCCTTTTTTCATTTTCCACTGTATGAATATATTAGAGCCTGTTTGACCTATCACAAGACTTGCAGACAATGGCATTGTTGTGTGTTTCCCGTGGCATTTAACGTGCGTTGCTGAATTTCAAATCACAATTTATGAATATTAGTTGCCCAGTTGCCACTGTCATTAACATAAGATTGCATTTTGTAGGCTCCAGCTCAATTGTTCATACATTATTTTGTGAGCTGCACAAGCTCGGGTTTTAAACTTTTATTTAGGTCATGACTGTGTAGACAAAAGGACAGTGAACAAGTCTTCCCAGCGGGCTTTGTGTTGCACTTACGCCACATCATCAAGGCTTCACTTCTCCTATTTATTTGATCCTGTTTGGTCCTCCTACTCATGCACCCTTGTTCATGCATTATGTAAAAAAGAAAAAGAAAAATTGAGACTGCTTTCTCTTGTCTTTCCTCACTATCTACCACCCCCTCCTTTATCCTTCTCACTGTCCTCCTCCCCCTCCCTTCCATTTTTAATTTTTTGCTTGGTCCTTGGCCCTTCACCCCGCTTTCACCAATTTTTGCTCAGTTTTAACTCGTGTGTGTGAGAACTGGTCTGAGATCAGTGGATTTATTTTCCTGTAGATTGACAGCCAGTGTGGACAGTGGAGGCACTGCCAGCAGCTAGGACATGAAAAATGCATCGCATAAGTTTGTGATAAAGCCCTGGGTAATTATGGCAAAGGCCCCTATCACAAGCGATTAGTCAGGACAGTGAATCTGAGCGTGTGCAAAAAGGGCTGGCGGTTGGCAGGCCTGTCTGCAGGATAGGAATCAGCCGCAGCTAGTGTGTGTGTGTGTGTGTGTGTGTGTGTGTGTGTGTGTGTGTGTGTGTGTGTGTGTGTGTATGAACACGCACAACTGCTCAGAACATTCACTTTCTATTATTGATGACATCTTATTTACTCTCCCTCCCACTGAGAGGCTCCTAGAGGAAAAGCCTTCGGAGGAAACCTTTTTTTAATCCATTTTTTAATGATGATCTGGGGTTAGCATGATATGATCAGAACCTACATATAGCCTTGTCAGCTGGTTGTCTCCTTATTTGTTTCCTTTCTTGTGATCGAATGGACAGCATGAACTCTACACTCAGCCTGTTTTGTCTGTAAGAGGCTCCAGCAAAGGAATGTTTTCCCTTTTTTCTTGCGTTTTTGAAGATGAAAACCCAACCCTGCCTAGATGTCACCTGCTTTAAGCTTCTATTCTTCACTTTCAAACGCTGATGTTCATTAAAATCTTATTTGATCAGTATGTCCCATTCCCTGTGTGGGAAACTAGCTAGGTGGTTGTTAGAGGACAGAGAGTGCTTTGAAACAGCACAGTAAACTGTTAAGTTGTCTCTGCATGTTTTTTTCTCTCTCTCCCCACCACTACAAACACAAATGGGTGCAACAGTGATGCTTTTAGCAAGGTCTTGCACACTTGCAGAGTGGATCACTGATTCATAGATGATGGTGGGGTGACGGTGAATTACAGATGGAGGAGGTTTTAACGTCTGTAATCCCTGTCCGTCCATTACAGAGTTGAGTTTCTTTAGAAGGGATCATCACTCTTCTCTCCTGTTGTTTTTTTTCCTCTTTTTCTTTTTTTTCTGACTCGGTCAAGCAGCTTGCTGAAACATCGCATTTCTGCTTGAGCTAGTCCTAATGAGATATGAGTGAACAACTGTGCCTAAATCTGCAACTTGTACTTCCTTTGTAAGCTTAGAAAATTACGAACAGGCCTCTCGGTCTCACACAATTCCCAATTTAGGCCTAATAGCCTACAGCTCACCTCTCAACATTTCCTGGAAAAAAGAAACGTACCCCAGAGCCTCTTCGAAAAACAGTTTACTGTGTTAGCGTAAAGCTAAATAGCGACTTGGATGAAATCTGATCCTGACCCTGTTCTTATTCACTACCTCCTAATGGGTAAATTTAGGAAAAGGATTTTGTAAGCTGATCCCGGAGCTGTGGTCAGTGGGAACCTGAGTGGTATAAATCTCTCAGCGACGGGCTCGCCGTTGTCTGCAGGAGTTTTAGTGTTAATTTATGAGCTGGTTGTCTGAACTTGCTGGTGGGATATTTTTACCCCTCTGTTGCTGCACAGGCCAAGGGGAGCACAGAGGAAGGGGCATCACGTCATGCTTTTTACTGTAGCCAACTCGCTGCTCTGCCCAGTGACAAACCCTGGCATTGGGACTGAGGTTTCACTGTGTGCTGCTGAGCAACTAAGCATGAGTCAGAGAAAAAGAACAAGTGCATGTCAGGTCTTTGGTCTGTCCTTGTGTCCGCTTTGGTCGGTTCTTCGTCATCTTTCCTTCTAAGTGGTCTCGGTGTGGACAAATGTGGAATACAGAAATTCGGTGCTCTCAAAAACTAAAAAAACTTTAAAAATATTTACCTTATCAGAGAACAGCATAAACTCTTCAAACTGTCAACTGTAAGTTTTCCACCTGCTTCCTGATTGGTGGAGTTCTTACTTCAGACCCAGATCATCCAACTCACTAAAAGAAACATTTTTTTTTACTTTTAAAGGACAGTTATATAAGTACTTAGAATTTTTACCTTGAAACAATGAAAGGCATTCTGATTTATGTCAGATGCTGTTGGTACAAAAGACAAAGCATTTAACAGTAATTTAAAAGAATCTGATCCTTGAACACGTTGAGTGAGACATTCTTCGTTAATATTACATTTTGAAAAAATGTAATCTTATGTGAAAACTTGAATATTTTGTAGCGTTTAAACCTTAACATTTGATTAGTAAATCATCAATTTTTTAAATTTACTTTTGTACGACTTTAACACGTTTTTACAAACTGAAAGTGGAGATTCTTGTCAATAGAAATGTTCTTAACCCTGGGAACATTCAATAACTTGGATTTTCTCACTTTGTCTCAGAATAATAAAATGTGTTTTTTTTTCTAATCAAAAAATGTAATATAAACCTAAAGAGACAATATAAATATATACAAAATAATCTAAATTTGGGGTTTAACAACCAATTAAAGACATTTTCTGGTAGCAGTGTGTAATTTCCTACATTTCAGGGTAGTTTTACGCTATATCAACGTGACTGTTGCTAGTTTAAAAATATACGGTGAAGCAGAAAGCATGCAACCTTAGCTTGACTCCTTAGAACTTGATGGTTCTTCAGTTAATCCCATCCAGTGAATGCAAAGCCAGTGCTAGTTTTCTGGAGTTGAAGTTTCTGGATCGGCTCGGGGTCCTGCGCCTGCCAACGATATCAAACTACAGCAATACCACTCGGCCAAAATATATTGCATCTCCTTTTCGATTCTGTTCTTTCACATACGTTTTGTAAAGAGTTGAGCAGTTTTGTTATTAAATTTATGTTTCTTGCATTCTAAATGTTTTTGAACATGGTAAGATAATTTCTGTAGGTCGTATGTCCAGCCAATCATCTAGTGTGATGTTATCAACAGGCGCAGGACACTGAGCTGACCAGAAGGAAACATGGCGTCTAATAAGGCGCACCCCAGAGACTTTGACTCACACTTTATGTACTTAAACCCCAATTTTTATGGTTATATGTTACGAAGCTGCCAATAATATCCAACGACTGCCTATCATTTTATTCATTTGCAACAACATTTCGATGGATATTTCCAGAGTTTAATGGTAAAAACTACACGTTGTCTCTTTAATGTCTTTGTGGTCACTGCATCAATTAAATCTTTTACATCTGTTGTAACCATTGGCTTGTCATAGAATTTTTTTTCACCAGCTTTGATTAGTAACTTAAAAAAGGAGAAGAGTTTACGGTTCAGTTTTTTGGTCATGGTAGTTTTATAGTAAATGTAAAAGAAACATACGTGGTGTTCAATCACTGACATCTTGCTTTTAATTATTTGCTTTGTAACACTAAAACACTTAATCTACTCTAAGAAAAAACCTCCATTTGAAAAACTAGCAGCAGGAGCTGAGGGGCCAGTTTCCAGAGAACTGTTTTCAAGTGGCCGGCTTTATTTACAGACCCACTTGGAGTCTCTCTCACCTACAGCATCATTGAGTTACACCATCCTTTCTGACAGAAGCAGCCATTATTTTCCCCCTCCTTATTCCAGCAAAGAGGAAACTGCAGCGCTTCTTGTCTGTAGGCTAACTTCAGATCATCCTCCCTGTTTGTACTCACCAAGTTTGTGAATGTTGTCCATTTTAAGAATCAAGTATACCCTCACACAACATTTAAATCTTCAAGTCGATTTCTTCTGCATAATTGACATACTTCCCATTTGTCTTATCTTTGTTAGGATAATCAGAATCATGCACAACATTTGTGCTGGTTAACTGTTCAGGTTATTAAAGAGCTATTATTGTTATATTATAAAAGAGTTATAGATGGCAGAAAATTCATCTGAGAGGTAAAATCATTTTAATATTTTTCAGAATTTTAGAATATGTGTATCATTCCTTCATAAATAATAAATAAATAGAAATAATGGATAATGAAAACAAGTGAAAATCTGATCAATTACTACCTTTTTAGTTGAATTCAGTTTTATGTATATTTTAATCTTTATTTTTTAATGGACTTACTGATTGACGAATAAGTTTATTTGTGACTGGAAAACTATTTTTTTTAAACTATGTTTTTTGTTTTACACTCCTCATTTATCTCCTGTCACCTTAAAGCAGGGGTCGGCAACCTGTTCCCATCAAAGAGCCATTATTACCCGTTTCCCACAGTAAAGAAAACACTGGGAGCCACAGCAGCCGCGGCGTTGTGGGCGGGGCCTATCCTCAGACAACAGAGAGCTGCTTTAACCAATCACAACAGGTGTCAGCAGCCAGTACCGGTCCCTCGTGTACATCAAAGTTATCTTTCATAAGAAGATAATCAATAAAATGATTTATATAAAATGGATCCAGAAGTTGTAGCCCGTCTCTGCCTACAATATTTTGATATTTTTCACCCTGTTGGTGGTTTTACTGAGCAGATGCCTCTTTTGTCATACGTTTCTTTTTAAAACATGTTTAGACTGTTCAGAATACAAATCCAGGCTCTGTCACGTTTGATTGTTGTAATTAAACTTTGTAGGTGGGGAAGGTCAGAAAAGGATCCGATCAATTTGTTTTTTCCTCATTTACAGTGACGGAGATACCGGTGCAGTGCGCCTGGCTCTGGTGTCAATCAAGTTAAATTGGCAACAATTTTCACAAGAAAACAAAACAGTTAAAAGCAGGGCTTGTGTTGTGTTGACCGGATAGTTCCCGTATTTGGCCGTTTATTTTGACGGAGAAAGAATAGAAAGAATTACCCCGACGCATGCAGATGAACTGACATTTTATTCGTTATGCACATCGCAGATGTAGCTAAACCACTCAAGAAAAGATTTCCTTCTGAACATCTGAACTGGACACTGCTCAGCGCAGCTCGCTGTCAGCGTGTATGTACGGTGCACAGCGAGCTGAAGATGTGGAGAGGGGCTTGGAGCGCGTCGCAGAACCAGAGCGCATGCAGGAAGATTCCTCCGACTGAAGCGAGACTTGTCACTTAGAAAATGTTCCCTGATTACGAAACTTTGGCTGAATTGTGCTTGTTCCTGTCTCCAATGTGGTGTCGCATCCATGAGCCTGTCTGAGGAGAATCCCAGAATCTCATATCCTCTTCAGCTCAGAATGCGCCTATATGATTACACACAAGCGTGACGTGTCAACCCAATCTCACAGTAAGACCGGGTTGGACCTGTTCAGGTTTACGCAGACAATCTTTACATTTAGAATTAGCTTACAGATGTAAAATTTATGCAGTAAAATATAAAGCATTTCATTTAAATATCCAGTCATTATTTTACAAGCACAGAGAGCCACGTCAGATGGATGGACGAGCCGCATGCGGCTCCAGAGCCGCGGGTTGCCGACCCCTTCCTTAAAGTAACAACAGATATATTTTTTTAAACTTTAAGCTAGAGCTTTAACATTTATCTCAGTGGTTGTTGGGTTAGAAACTTAATTGACACCACTCTGCACTCCTCAGTTTTATGGAGCGGGTAGGTCTTGAAGGGGGCACTCTTTATCTGCTTTGCCTCTGTTAGCTGTTATGCTAGTGGTTAGCATTTTCAGTTCATCAATTGTCAATAAAAATGATAAATAGGGATGCAGAACCAAAAGTCCCACCCATGTTACAACATTCCTAAACTAAAAACAACGTTAGTGGAGAGCCGTCAGAACCTGTTGCGTAACGGTCCGTCTGGCATCACAGTGCTGCTTATCAGCGCATTCTGTAGGCCACACTTTTAAAAAACACTTTAGTTTCCTTACATTAAACTAAAAGAATGACACCAAAGTTTCTTCTTTTTGCCAAACAAACTACTAGAGGAAGCAGACACCAAGCTGTCACAAAGCAGGCGTCATTGCACTGACCTGTTTCTGGCCCGGTTTCATTTTGCTGCGCAGCTTTATTTCCATGTTTTTCCAGGCTCAGCACTTTGATCTTGGCCTTATTTAGTTAAATACCAAAAATAAAATGCTCCCACGCTGTGTACTTTCCTAACCTCTTCATTTGTGAGTAAATTTATTTGATCATGTGTAGGGATGGGTACCTTTGACATTTGAATCGATTCGGTACTAATTCCTGGTACCTAGGAATCGATACCGGTACTTAACGGTACCAATTTTCGATACTTTAGAATGTTTATTATTTTAATTCTCTTTTATAATTAAATATGTATTTTTCTCAATATATAACAATATTTGATAAATTCACGATAAATAACATTCAACTGTTTGTATTTTAACATCGTCCTTGTAGTTTTATAAGCTGATAATTAAACTGAAGTAAACATCTTTACTGAACTAAATTTACTGTGTATCTTCATTCCTTTTGCCGTCTTTTTTTCATTTGATTTTTCCTACTGGGAAGATAGAATTTCCGAGGAGAAAGCAAACACACCATTAGCTGATAAAAACGGTGGCAATGGAAGCTAACTTATCAAGCTAACGTTATCTTAAACAGTTTATTTAACTGCTGGAGCAGATTGAAACGATGATGCCTCACACTTAAATCGTTGTCACTGGTTTCATCTTCACCCAATCACCCGTCGCATTTAGTAAAGTGAAGCCAAACTTTAGAGCGCGTTCGTGTTCTTCTAGTCGGAAATTCGGAGTTCAGAGGAGAAAGTGAACGCACCATTAGCGAAACGGAAGCTAACATATCAAGCTAACGTTATCTTTATGGGGCAACGGTGGCACAGGAGTCAAGTGCTCGCCCCGTAATCGGAAGGTTGCAGGTTCGAGCCCCGCTCAGTCTGTCGCTGTCGTTGTGTCCTTGGGCAAGACACTTAACCCACGTTGCCTGCTGGTGGTGGTCGGAGGGTCTGGTGGCGCCAGTGCTCGGCAGCCTCGCCTCTGTCAGTGCGCCTCAGGGCAGCTGTGGCTACATCGTAGCTCATCCCCACCAGCGTGTGAATGTGTGTGTGAATGGGTGAATGACTGATTGTGTTGTAAAGCGCCTTGGGGGGGTTCCAGGACTCTATACAGGCCATTTACCATTTAAACATTTTATTTACCCACCGGAGCAGATGAGGATGTCTCACTTAGATCGTTGTCGCTGGTTTCATCATCACCCAGTTACCCATCACATTTAGTGAAGTGGACCCAAGCGTTAGCGTGCGTTCTTTCTACCATGCTGCTCTGTTTACAACTGGCTCGCAGTGAGCGACGACATATTGCTCTTACGCATGCGCAGCTGTCTTGGCAAGTTCTCGTTATGAAGGACGGGTACTGAAACGAGGCACCATTTGAAATGATGTGAATCGGTGCTCGGTCGGTACTATGGAATTCGGTCGGTACCTTAAAAAGTACCGAATTCGGTACCCATCCCTAATCATGTGACAAACTCTTCCTCTGTGATTTTCATAGTGGTGCTCTTGCACCCTCTGGTGGCAGAAAATATATTACATCCATGCACAGTAGAAGAAGGTGACCTCAGCTAGCAGTTAACCAGGCAAAACTATTTTACCCGGTTATGTTAACAGCAATTAACCTTTTAACTATGTACATTCCTAATAATAAATGAGTCGCACTTTTATAGCACCTTTCAGGTCTGAGGACTCCAGAGTACTTTACACTACAGTGTATCATTCATCCATTCACACACACACACACACACACACACACACACACACACACACACACACACACACACACACACACACACACACACACACACACACACGCTAATGGTGATGAGCTACAGTGTAGCTACAGCTGCCCTGGGGCGCTCTAACAAAAGCGAGACTGACGAGCAAAGGCACAGCCGGTCTCTCCAACCACCACCAGCAGGCAAGGTGGGTGAAGGGTTTTAAACGAGGACATGACTGTGGGAGCCTGGGACTGAACCTGCAACCTTTCTAACCTCTGAGCCACCTTCACCCCAATAATACTTAAGGCAGCCACTGCTAATTTATGTTAGTCAGTGCGAAAATCATTATACCACTGCCAATTATGTATATATATATATAAATATATATATAAATATATATATATATATATATATATATATGTATATATATATATATATATATATATATATATATATATATATATATGTATGTATATATATGTTGAGCAAATATTTGGTGTGGAAGTAGCTAAAGTATCAGTACATACCCTTGAGTGCAATACACTGCCTAAAACCATTGCAATAACTGGGGTCAACTTTTTCTGTCTGTAACAAATGAGTCACATGAACCATTGGTTTTAATACAACTTTCAAAGGGTAATTGTTGAACGCAGGGGTGGTTGACATACTGAAAATTTACCAATATCATAATGTATGTCTATTACTGATGTAATTTTGCCCATGTTAGTATTTTAGGTATTTCGGGAAAAATATGTGTGTAGGTTTACAATGTTCATGTTCCTTTAAGATGCTATGCTACAAACTGGATGAGGTAGAGTTGCGTGGCTTTGCTTAGTCACATGACTGCCTCATCCAGGGTGTAACAAGAATGGATAAACTGTGAGGAAATGGAGGATGATTCAAATGTTGTAGCAGTGGGCGGGGGCAGCGGGTAGCACCCAGTGGAAGCCAGCAGTAGCAACGAAATTCAAAATGTTAAAGGAGTTTTGAAGGAACAGGCAAGCGCCCTTGGCCTCAACGAAGCCACCGTTCCCCCTAACTGCAGATGTATGGGTAGTTATTGTCATTTGTCGTTATTGAGGTGAATTGTGATATCGATGTGAGGCTACATTTCCTTGCTCTAATTGATATTGTATTTACTATCAGGGCCCTGCAAGTTAGGAAAATCATAAAATTAGGCTTAGAAAAACTTTAATTTACTGTTAAACACAGAACTAGTTTTGTGGATGTTATCGTATCATATCTACTTCTTTTTTTTTAAACTTTACAGTGACATTAACAATGAACGCGCGTGTAGTTTAGCTGCTCCAGCTTCTGGAGTCTCTGTGTGTGACAGGAGAAGACATGAGGGGGCAGATTACGGTGAACTGAGGCAAAGAGTTGTGTGGCAGGCGTCCAGCAGTCCCAACCACATTTAGCACAAAACACAAGAACAATGTATATGCTTTAGTACAGCTTTTCAGTTTTTTGGTGCACAATTGGTTTTAATAGCAAGAAAGTACTCAAACAATTCAGTCAAAGACAAAGGTAATACGCTAGCGTTAGTCTCAGCTTTAGCTAACCCTCCCACATGAAAACATTTTAAAAGAGACTTGATTTTACTTTGTTGCTGTCTGTGCGAACTGAGCTCTATAAAAGCAACATCTTGTTTCCCATTCATTTTACATTATGTATAAATTGCATTAAGAGTAGTTTAAAGTATACAAAACAATAATGTGATGAGAATAACCTAAAATATCCAATTTGGTGGTAATTAATGCATAAACGCAAGTAAATCTGAGCTTTGAGGAACTGTCACACTGATTTTTACAGTACAGGTTTCTGGTGACCCAGCAAGCAGATGCTAGGTCTAATATACAGACTTTTGGGGAGCTGAAAAATATGTTAACATAGAACTATAAACGTAGGCAGTGGACCTTGAAAAGAAATGGAGTCTCGTTTCCACAAGGAACCAAAATGTGAAAACCTAAACCCACTGTAAATGGTTATATAGTGGGTGGGAGTGCGGTGCTCCTTACCCATGTTTTCCTTTCCAAATTTGTCCCCCTCATGTCGAAATTCACTTTTGCACCACATACTTTGTGGCCTTCAGTTTCTGCTGAAGACAAACTATTGGTGAGCCCCCATGCTCTACCTAATTTTAGTGTTGTTTATCTGACTGTTATCAAGGCGTGTGGGCTAAAATGAGTCTGAGTAGCCTTATGTGGAGACCTTATCCCATGTCAACCCATGACTCCAGTATCAGTGTCCTCTTAGATCATTGACCATAGGTATTGAATTCTAATATGCCTATTGGTGTGTCCTAATGGTACAAGTATTGAATTATGATATTGGCAAGCACTGATGGCCTCAGGATTGAATTATGATATTGGTGTGCAGCAGCCTAATGGTTCTTGGTATTGAATTATGATATTGATGCACTTTGACGTTGTAGGGATTGAATTATGATATGGCTTGGTATCTGCTAATAGCTCACATTGTGTAATTTTTTGTGTCAATCAGGGCTTAGTTGCTGGATCCATAGTCGGCCCTGAGGCTCAGTCCGTCTTTCTTGTCAGATTGGAAACAGCCTTCAACCTTTGGGCTCACCTCTAACTTTCTTCAGTCTTGTGGTTTGTATCCTCATGAGTTGCAGGATTTGATTCACCCAATCGACCCCAAAGTGTATTTAAAAATTATTTTTTTTCAGGTGGCATTTACATCTTTAACTCATTCACTGCCAGCCGTTTCCTGATCGCTAAAGGCCTTCGCTGCCAGTGTTTCTTGCCGTTTTTTTAAGAGTCGCGGAACGTTACGCTCTAGGATGATGTCGATGCCAAAACGACCAAAACAAAGCAGAGACTCACCTCTTACATCAGGAAGAATCTGCGTGTTTCGAGCATTATCCGTTCTTTCATAATCCGTGTCGAATTGTGGTCGGCAGGCGCTTTTCCGGTTCGCGCCTCACTTTTTTTTACAGGAACGGCCCAAAACGATCTAACACATGGACTTTCTGCTTCCTGATCATATGACGTGTGACGTATGCGGATGAAGATCGGCTTCAGAGCTGAGATGTTTGTTCTCTCGGCGCAGGGGCTCATTCTGATGCCCACACAGTAAAAAAAATGCAAATGACGACTTTAGTCGTCATTGGCAGTGAACGGTTGGATCTAAAATGACGACTTTAGTCGTCATTGGCAGTGAACGGTTGGATCTAAAATGACAACTTTAGTCGTCAATGGCAGTGAATGAGTTAAAAGGGAGAAAGAAAAGCTATGTTTATAACAAGCTAAAGCTATAGATCCAGATGTGGTAATGTGGATCTGGCCTTTACTTTCACCTCCTTTTTATTAGAATTGTAGCTAATCCCCAACTATCAGAACCTTCATGATTAGAAACCTAATCCATGTTTATTTAACTAAACATCCAAGCATTTAATGTTTGATTTGAGCCTGCTCCCATTTTGATATTTTACACCCAAAGATGCGATAGTTCTGCTGCCCTCTCACATAGTAAATGGACTGCTCGCTTCTGTGTCAGCCCTCTAAAAATAACACAGACTGCTGGCTAAGCTCAGCAGAAAACTACCACAGATTATGATGATTCAACTACCCTGTATTCACAGGTGCGTGTTTGTGTTGGGTGGGGGTGGGTTGTGCTTTACAGATTGTTCTCAGTGCTGTGGTCTTGACCGATTAGCTTTGTAGTCACGCTGTAGGCTGGTAAAACTTTGCTGATGCGAGGAAATTTTTAGCAACTGTTGAAAAATGACTTATTTGTCTTTTAGTTGCTGAAGCCAGTGAACCAAAATGTTAGTGGACATCGTTTTTTTATGTCCATACTCTGGTTTGATTCCTAATTAAAATGTACTTATAGTTTGATCTATGACATTGCTCACTGAAATGTGGGAAATTTGGTGCAAATGATGTCCAATAGCTGTTTAAGTCATTGAACACCATCAGACGGCACTTTAACCTCTTCTTGACCTTTGGCCTGAACAGCTGTCAGACTGGAGCCACGGTTCAGGGGTGGTGTGACCCAGATGACCTCTGTTTGACCTGGTCTGTCTAACTAGTCTAACCTTTGGAGCTAACAGATGAGGACTTTACCATCTGTCTTGCATTTAGCAGGTCTAGCCTCCTTGAACTTGAACTTGTTTGGACATTGAAGGGAAGGAAGCACACACAAAAAAGAAAAGTATCTTAGTCTACCAAGGCTGTTTCACTACATTTATGTAACATTTTATTTTATATTGTTAAAAATAAAAGAAACAACTAAAATTGAATCACATGTCTGAAACCTAAATCTTTGTTTTTTGCATAATTTGTGAGCTCCAGCTTTACTTGGATGAGGTTATGTAGAAGTCTTTAAATTGGATATGCACTCCTTAGCTGTGTAGCCTGCCGTCTTCATCTTTTAAAAGTGAGAGTTATCCTCTTGAAGAAGGGGGAAGGGACGGTGTGTTTAGTAGACACAGGCTCATCCGCTGACTGCTGTCTGACCCTGAGTTCAGCAGTATGGTTATTAATAGGCCCAGAGGCCTCAACTTCCAGGAGGCCCTCTGATCAGCTCCAGATGTGGAATGAGAGAGGACAAATCTGTGTTAGCCTATCCACGTTTCACATGAAGCAGAAAGCAGGGAGATGGGCATTCTGCGAGACTGATAAAGAATGAAGGAAAGAGGAAAGGATGTGCAAAAGACCTTTTCCACAGCAGGAGTTTGCCTTGTGAGTCTTTGTTTTCACGCGTATGTGTTTCTTTTCTGTTTATTACACTCTGTGCCCTCAGACCAAAAGACCATAAAAACGTATGGTATCACCATGGCGACCATAATAACTACCTATAAAACAGCGTGTAAACTGTGAAATAAGACAAACAGACCAGAACAGCCTTGACTTTGCTGGCTGAAGGGCTGCCTTCCACCATAAAAACTATTTGAGAGCCAGACTGAAGGAATGCCTCGGAGGCTGCAGTGGCTGTCACGACACATGAAAGGATTAGGCTCTGTGTTTTATCTCCTCTTTATCTGATGGTAATGGATAAGCTGAGTGTAGCCTATCATCTGACGCTTGGGCTGGGGTTTTGATGTTTTAGTAGGGTGACGGTTTGTTGAGTTGACCGCTTTGGTCTATTGATTGCTGTTTGATGGTTTTGATATGTAGGCTGCTTGGAACAGGTCAAGTCTTTTATGCAGTGAAGGCTCCAAATAGCTTTTAGCTGTCCTTCACTCCCCCCTTTACTCTAGTGGTTTGTTTGATGTTTGGATCAATCAATAGAAAGAGCCTGAGCTCTTACACATGCTCCTTCCTACTTCCCACTGAGCTCAATTCCTCTTCTTTCATTGTGAAGGCTTTATATCACATTTTCTCAACGCAGAATAAATGATATAATTACAACTCATTACTTAGCCTAACACAAGCTAATTATTCTGTCATTATGGCAAGGATTAGCTATGCTCATTCTCTCCTCCTGACTGCGTTTCTCTGCCTTTTTCCTCTCAAAAGTCACGCAGGCAGAACAGAAAACTCTGGCTCATAAAGGCTGAGTAAGACTAAGCCCCAGGACACGTTGTGTTGATGTTGATGGTATAGACCTCCAGTGTCAAACTCGGACGGCAAGCCACGCTAGAAAGTAGTGACGGCGTGACTGGACACATCAAAGAGTCCAGAAACAAAGATATGTCTAAACTAATGGGGTATTTTAATGCACGCTTGTAATTTATGCCCAGAAATCAACATGCTGCTTTTATAGGCCATGGCACAGCTCGTGCTGATGTGTCATCAGGCGTCTAGAAAATTACTGGATACAACAGATAGACGGGGCTAAATTAAAATGTGGAAAAAAGACATCATGCCGAGCAAGGATCTAATATATCAGAGGCACATGAGGGTGATGCACACACCTTTTTTCACTACTCCCGACTGTGTCAGCAGCACAAAGCTGCTAGGCATCCTTATATGGAAGCCTAAGTGAATTACAACAAATCAAATAGGCTAACGAACTGAGAACAGACCAACACAGAACACTGCTCCGTTGTCAAAAGTTAGACTTTCTGAGTCAAAAATAGATTGGGAGTAAGTGTTGACGTTAACCTGGAGGCCATGACCTGATTGTTAGTCGTTTGATGTTAACATTCATTTGATTATGGTTAAATATAAGTTTTCTGTGAAATGTCTTAGTCCTTGTGCTGGTAAATGTGCTATTCCTTTGCACCGACGTCACCTAATCACGTGGGTCCACCATGCTGGATGGCAAAAGCATGTAAACAGTGAGTGACACGATTACTAAACAAAGGGAAAAGTAGAGCCTGAAATTGTTTTTGCGATCAAAACAAAAACAAAATTCCTCCAGCATTCCTTCAACTAGTTCACGCCCAGTTCAGTTATCAGAAGTAGCACATCTAGCCGGGGCTCATAGAGAGCGGTATGTTAAAGGTATAGCAATCGGTGTTTCTGAATTGCAGGAAAGAACCACCCTGTCCACGTCACACAACACTCTCCCAGCGCCTGTTTACAAGTAGTTGCCGGCCGTAATGTGTAATAAGAGGCTCTAAAAATAGCATGCAGAACCTCTCGAGCGGAAAACTGGCAACAGCAGCGTCTGTGGGGAGCGGACTGGACCGCGTTAGCCTCTTCCTGATTTCCATGAGAGTGCGGGGGTGCACAGAGTACGCATGTGCAGGAAGTGAAAACTAACCCAGGATTGGCTTCACCAGAAATTTACATTTTTGCGGACCAATGGTTGCCGTGATCCACCCGGAAGAAAAACATAGATTGTTATACCTTTAACTAGCTTACCAACGTTAGCGTACGTTCTCTCTGCAGCTGTTCACCAATGTAAACATGTTGCTGACTTTGCCTAAATTCACCCCTCTGGATTTATAACATTATGTTATGAACAGCGTTTCACTTTACACCAAAGCTGATTTTTAATAAGTCCGGATCCCTACCAGCTTCTGTTGGTGGTGGTGTTACCGGGTTCAGCTGCTGCTCTCACACCGGAATGAGAAGATCTCTGGACGCCGACGCTCATATAAATAAATAACGTCATTTTAACACACTGTTCTACAATAAAATGTTTTATTTTATTTTAATTACCTTAAAAGACTCAAAGTATCTTTTTACACTTTATATTTATTTAATCAGGATCGTTGTCAAGTCGACGCCAGAAACAATGAAACACAACTTGAATATCAGATGAACAACAAGGCTTTATTCAACCGGCATTTATACAAGTTATCAATCATGAACAAAACATTTCTCTTACCGTTGCTTATGGGTGGAGAGCTGAACACCCCAGTTAGAAAACGTAATCCATGATAGGTGAAGAACTGAACACATGTAATCCATGAACCTCGTCAGGTAGAATCCTTCAAGCAGCTCTAACCACCTGAGACATCCACTGATGTGCGTGCAAAGCTGCACACCTCCACCATGATTACCCTTGATTACATCCTCATGATCACATTATGTTCGGCTCTACCATGATTACCCTTGATTACATCCTCATGATAGGTGTGATTGACAAACAGTAGTGATCAATAACTTATATAAAGCAATTATACAACAGATGACAAGTTCATTTTTATTACACACACATAATCATACATCGGAGCTTTAATATTGTTAATAATTATCTCGCTTTACACTACAGTGGACGGCGCGCATCCTCTGTGGTGAAATCCCCATCCATCAGGATTATCAATAACTAGTATAAACAAACGCATCACATTTATCCCTGTCCCCGTCTTCCTCGTGAAATAAATGAACGTTAATCTTACCCGGTAAAAACATGCTCGCTGCAAATCTGAGGGCCGCTAGTCCGCTTGATTGATCGCTGCAGTTCATCTCCGTCCTCAGTCTCCATCAAAGTTATTAAAAAAACTAAACGAGTTGAGTTTACATCCTTGCCTGTTAGTGCAGCCAACCACACAGCAAGCTAAAACCATTTTACTGTCAAATCAACTAAATAAAAGCGATAAAAGGCTACAAACTGGCTTGTTTTGACTAGCTTCACTTGAGTTTCAACAGGTGTAAACGGTCTTTTTGCACTCCATCATGGCAAAGGCAGCGGTCTCATGAGTGGCGTGACGTCACGTGCAAAGGGTCAATAAGCTCTGGAGAGTCCCAGTCTTCCTCTAGACGTGATTAATTTCTATCGCCCCTCTCCATGATCACCGTTTCCATTTTTTAGTCTGTATCTGTGCACTCATCCCTTCCCCAATCTCCTCTCACTGGCACAGAATGGCTTCCTGGCAGAATGGATGCATTAATTCAGGGATGAGAGGTGTGATACTCTCTCCCTCTTTTCCTGTGTCTCTCTGGTTCTCCCTTTCTCTCCATCAGTGCTGTGTTTGTAATGCCTGGCCTTTATCATAGCTGAAACAGCTCACTACCCTCTGATCCTATCTCAGATCTCAATATCCTAGCCGTTCCACCCTGTAAACGCAGGGATGAAAAATCTTGCCCTTTCACCAATGCATTACACCCCTAGCATATCGCCATACCCCTCTCCTCCCGTTGCACTCTCCACACCACTCACCCTTTGTGACACGGGCCTCCAGCGAAATTCGAACTCTGCAAAATGAGACCAAGTGAGCTGCACTTCCTCTATGCCAGAAACCATCTTAGTCTCATTATATTTGTGTTTAGGCTCTGTCCAGGCCTCTAGATCCCCCCTCCCCTTGTCAGACAATAGGTCAGGCAAAATAATGACTAGCTCTCAGTAAGCTTCAGGAGAGTTAAGGCTTGGATAGAGAGATAAAACAACAACCAGTCTCTGAGCAGGGAAACATGGATCAATACAAACGAAGCTGCTGTGTAAAAAGGCTGTTTTTGATCCAGGCTTGCGTCAGCACCACTGAGGTGATTCTTGACAGCTCCTGTGCTGTTGGTAGATATGGATCTGTGTTCAAAAAAAGGAGCAAAATGCTCTGGGAGCACAAGCGTCTTGTTAGACTGTGGAGAGTGTTAGGCTGACCCCCGCCCCCAGCCGCTCTGCATACAAACACACGGGCGAGAAGCGCTCCAGCCTCACTTGTTACAGTGAAACTATTGTGTTAGCTTGCGGTAAAGAAAACTTTGTGGCTTTCGCTCCAAGGGGTAGAGGAAAAGCAAAAACAGAAATTCAGGAGGATATGACTTGCGTCTTCAAACCCTGTGTGGTTTGTGAAAACGGCATCTGCTGGCACATTTAAAGTTCTGTAACCTGCTATGTCAAAGGTAGGCAGGCAAACGGGATTGCAGGTTCTTATCTGTGCTGCTGCTGTTCTGTGTTTTGAGGGGGCGTGCCTGTGATCTGTGTTCATGTACCGTGTTGCTGTAGAGCGTGGCTGTCGCTCCTGACTGAGCTGCCACCCCGCGACTCCACCCCCACACACTAGGGTTGGCATACAGAACAGTCAGCCGCATAGGAGTTGGAACGCTCTGCAGGGAGACGGAGGGGGAGTTTGAAAGGTAGGCCTTGTAGATTTCAGATAAGACATCTTTTCCAGACGCCTTTACTGTTTACTATCATAACCACATAACAGCCTCAGACATGTCGGAGATAAAAGGAGAGATTAGTGACGGCACTGGCAGGACAAAAAAAACTTCATCTCCTAAACATCTCTATGATGATGCCAAATACAAAGATTGTAAAAGATTTCTTACTTTGAAAGGAAAACTTTTAAAAATAAAACTTTAGAGCTAATATTTTAAATATTTCCCCCTCTGCAATGGGGTTTTTGTGATGGTGATAACTGCTCCCGAGGTAAATCTTGTATTTTATCTTTATGCATTAAAATGCATAGATTAATTGCTTTTCTTTGGTTTTTCATGTGGATCATTTAAAGTTTTTTTTGGTATGAAATGAGCTATAGATATATTTTAATCTTGTTTAAACTTCGAGGTGGTTCTTCTGAGTGAGAAGCAGTACGTGTTGCTTGGATCAAAGGAGTAATGACAGACTACTTGGCATGTGTGACTTTTTGTAAACAAAGTCTTTCCTCTATTCGCTCTCCCAATTATCCTTCAGAGGATGAGAGGTGAACACAGTCCTTGTGTGGCTTTCTGCTCTGTGCGCACTGCCGGTCATCGTGGCAACACAGACAGCAGCTGCAGATGGACTTCACACTGTGTACACAACAATAACTTTGTTGTCATTCCACCGGCTTATCTGGCATGTTGATGTCGGATTGTGAGGGTATAAGGAATTCCACAAAGTTTAGATACCTCAATTAAAGTGCGGCTGTCTCCTGTTATTTCATTTAGTCTGTAGTCAATATGATTGGCATAATCAGACATGCCTGATTGGGGCCTCCCATTTAATTAATCAGTCTCACTGTATTATCACCTGTGGCTCATTAGAGTAATTAGAGCGAATTAGTTAGATAGAAGGCCTTTCTCTCTGCCTGCAGATGAGTGGAAGGAATTTCATTAGGAGAACCGAACACACACACACACACACACACACACACACACACACACACACACACACACACACACACACACACACACACACACACACACACACACACACACACACACACACACACCTTGGTTGTGATGGCCATTAGTAATATAATTTGTTTACTTGTGACTGTTATCAGTGATGAATGCTATTTTCTCAGTCGCATTCTCTCCTCCTAGCTGCAAACACAGCTCGCCATGCCAGATTTCAGCGGGCAAACATGTTAGCAGGCTTCCTCTTCTGAAACAGAGTTTAAAAGAACGTGAAGAGACTGGGCTCTCAAAGTTACTGCGGCAGCCTGTCTGTGCAATCATGTGAGAGCACATGCATGTGGGGTAGTGCGCAAGAGGCTTCTTGGCCAAGTCAGTGTTGAAGTCTCTCTAGGGAGTGTTGGCAATCTGTTCCAATCGTCTTTACAGCTGACCAGACGACCAAATGAACCAGGACAGGGACTGCTGCTGTGGGCCAGTCCGGCCAACCCACAAAGGGCTCTTTACAGCCATTGAACAGATATTACAGCATACTTAATGCTTTCCTACACACACACACACACACACACACACACACACACACACACACACACACACACACACACACACACACACACACACACACACACACACACACACACACACACACACACACACACACACACACACACACACACACACACACACACACACACACACACCACCCTCTGACAAACTACACAGTCCTGTCCATCTATAGCTGCATTTAAAAATAGCGCTGGAGTTGATGTGAGTGGTTCATAGATTAAACTTGTAAAAGGTAGTTTTCAGTTTTGAATAATTTCAAAGATGGATTAGCGAAAGCCAGAGGGTGTTCCGCTTTCAGGCTCAAGGTGGACATGGAATGTTCTAGGATTTTGTCACAAGTAATAACGGAAGCATCAACGAAAGATGCACTATAATTGTCTTTTTTCATAAGAAACGATGTGGCAGCAAATCAGGGTAGTACTGCCGCTGCGTGTACCTCATAAAAGCACCATGGCAGTGGGAATATGTGGCATTCGTGCCGCCAAGCTTGATGGTGGACACCGCTACACCTTGTGAATGAAACCACATCTTTGCACAACAGATGGTGATGTCATGATCACGTGTGGAATGTCCACGTAGCCCTGGCTGTCAACAACATTGAAAAGAATTGTAAACACGGACACTGAGTTTCACCTTTGTAAACAGATACAGGGTTTCCCCCAGCGCTTTATAACCCCAAACTTCCACTATCTCCGCTCCACTCCGCCTCCGCTGCCGCTTGCTTCCAAACTCAAATTATACTGTACCCGCTCTACAACGGCTCCGCTCCGGTGCGGAGACCTGAGGTGCGCAAACAGGCATGCGCGGGATTTTCGAGATCTTGCGATACAGTCCGAGCAATAAACGCGGAAGATAGATCCAAACACCCGTTGTGTGGGAGAAGCATCGAAATGAACTGTTTAATTCCCATCATTTGCGTTGAGAGATCAGCAGTGTTTGGATCAACAAAGTATGACTACTTTGATAGTGGAAACTGTATTTATGGCTTATTTTTGTGCATTTAATGTTCAACCGCCATTGATAGTTGTTAAAAGTTGTTAAACCTGTGCATATGAAACAAAAAACACTTTTTGTTAATCGATTTATTGTGAAATAACGGAAGTTGTGCTTGCTCCCTTTCCTGTTGGGCGGTTGTGGTTTCTGTCCATTAACTGCGGAGGTGCTCCGGCGTCTGGCAAAAATAGAATCGATCCTATTCCTGCCAGATTGCGGAACGGCGGGCGGCGCACTGCGCCGCACAGCTGCAGTAGTGGAACAGCTCTGATTGACTACAACGGGACCGTTTGTGCTGCGGAGTTCGTGCCGGAGCGGAGCGGAGATGGTGGAATTTTGGGGTAAGCCTGGCAGCCCACAAGGCTTTGCTTGCCCACCTGCCAGGCTTTGCTTGCCCACCTGCCAGGCTAAGCGTCATGCCCCGGCCTTACCGTGTCCGCTGACATGAACGGCGCAACGAAACTAGAGCCCTCCATCAGCTGATACTGGTGAGAGACAACAGCGGAACGTGTGCAAACCGCTCTCTCTGAGGAGAGCTGCGGGACGGAGCGCGCAACCAGTCTTTGTTCACCGTTTTTTATAAACATTTTTATAATGAAAAGTCTTCATCTTTCTGTTTAGCTATCTGTTACCTTCTTTTTTTAGCCACAACAGCAGTTTCACAGCTAAGTACCTGCTGAGATCAGTTGGCTAAAGCAATTGGACACAAACTGCGCAGGACTCTTTCTTTTCTGTTTGTTAACATTCTTTATACTTTTGCTTACAAGTTTTAATGTATGTGTCCTAATACTGACAATCCCTTGTGGGAAACATAAGCGTATTAAGCTGATATTGATGACTTATTCATTTTTGTGGTCTGATTTCTTTACGATTAGAGATTTAATGTGTATTAGGGCTGCAACAACGAATCGATAAATTCGATGAAAATCGATTACTAAAAGCGTTGGCAACGAATTGCGTCATCGATTCGTTGTGTCGCACAACTCTTCCAAAAGCGCCCCCCCTTCCCGCCCGCCGTTGCGCGCAGACCAGAGCAAGTCAGATCAGCGCGAGGGAGAGCCGCAGATCAGCGCGAGGGAGAGCCGCAGATCAGCGCGAGGGAGAGCCGCAGATCAGCGCGAGGGAGAGCCGGCAGACTTGCGCTGCTGCAAACCGGTTCCGCATTGTTGCACAGCGATCCAGGCAGCTGCTTCCAGCGCACGGTCCATTCTCAAAGTGGCGCAACCAAAAAACTATAATTAGCACATGATCGTTCATGTCCGCACATGTTCTCTATTTTCTGTCTTATCTGTGCCTGAAGCTCGCTACTGCGGAGCTCATCACCTGTGCTGTGGTGATGTCACCTCACGCAGCATCGAAAACGCGCTCTGAGCTTTTCGGTCAGGAGATCCCTTTGATCTGCTCAAAAGTAACTGATGAGGTGAAAAGGTAAGAATCCAGGCAACAGATTTTCTGGAGAATTAAGAGGAGATGCAGGAAGATGAGAGACAGACAGGACAGGAAAATAGTTCAATAAAAACAAGAAAACAAAACAAAGTGTTGAAAAGTCAAATGTAGGTAGATTTATCTCCACTACACGTTTTTACCAGTAAAAAACAATAAGTTATACACATGTCATATTTATACATCTGATACAATTCAGATCACCTTCAAAACTCAGTCACACACCCAGGGCCGTTTCAAGACATTTTGGGGGCCAAGGCAAAATGCCCCCCCCCCCCCCCCCCCCCCAATAACTGGGCTCCCCAGAAGCCTCTGTGTAATTCATACCCTCTCCAGGAGTGTTAGTTATATGGTGTTTATAAAATCCCCTCAGACATTACTGACATGTTCTAATATTATCAGATGAAAAACTAAATTATCAGACATGCTGTCTCATCTGCTTCTTTTATAAACTTGCAAAAAGTAACAAAACCATTTGAAAGCCACTATTTGTGGATTCTCTGAAAGTTTCCATGGAGTGTGTGACAATTTATTTTTTCATTGATCGTATCGTCTAATCTCACAGCTGAAACAAGCATCCTTAATAATCTGTGCACAGGAAGCTTACCGATGCTGTAGTAAAACAAAAGGTATAATAATTTATTATTAATAAAACCTTGTTGCAGCACTAAAGCAGAAAAATTAGATTTTGCCTTAAATATGCAAAATATTTACATATGAATTGTTTTAGAGCCCTTTTATTGGCAGAATCTGATATTAATTTAGTTCCTACAAAAAATGGGTCCCAACATGGTTTGTGTGGCGTTGCCATAGTGTGACGTCATAGGCACAGATCCCCTGTCCTCTTGTTTGGAAATGGAAATATGGTCACCCTACATTAAACGAACTGTCCACCCGGGCTTTTGCACTGCACAGAGACGCTTCGCTGCCTACGACTGAACGTCAGTTGAGAGTCAGTCTCATGCAGACTGACCAATGAAGAGAGGGCCTCAAGTTAAGACCCTCTCCTCATT